CCCCGCCCGCCGCGCCCCGGCGGTCCCCGTGCGGCCGTGATTCACGCCCGGGCCTCTGCACCCGGGCCCAGCACTCCCGGCCAAGGGGCGTCACCGGGAGGCGGGCGGCCACGCATTCCGGGCGCCCCGCCCGCCGTCGCCCCCCCCTCAGCCCGGCCGGCAGAGGAGTGCGGATGTGTGCGCTAGTGCTGAGCGAGTGCGGGGGTGAACGTGGCCGGTGCCCCCGCGTGTGAGTTAGTATGAGCGCGACTGAACACGTGTGAAGTGTGAAGGAGGGAGCGCGTATGTGTGTGAGTTTGTGAGGGCGTGTGTGTGACCGGGTGTATGGATGTGACGTGTGCGTGTGCAGGAGTGTGTATGGGGGTGAGTGACAGTGAAAGAGTGAGCAGGTGTGCGGGAGTGTGACCGTGACTACCTGCGAGTGTGTGCGTGTGGAGTGTGTGTGTACGTGTGGAGTGGGTGCATGTGGTGTGTGTGTGCGTGTGGAATGAGTGTGTGTGAGTGTGTGTGCGCGCGCACGTGCGTTGTTGCTGGATCGCAGTTTTTTACCGACAACAGCCCCTGAACCCTCTCCGTGGGCTGCAAGCTAGGCTCTGGTCTCTTAACCCAGCAAACTTGAGAGGCCCCAGCCGTTGGCCCCATTTTACAGATGAAAAAATGCCACTCAAGACTTGGCCACGGGCCGGGCTGGCGGAGTCTGAACTTGTGGAGCTGCAAAGTCCATCGTCATGCTGTCACTTTGGTTCGGCCCAGGGCCACCCTCCCTCGCCGTCGGGTCTTTCGGATTTCTCAGAAGCCACAGTGGTGGTGCTGGCTTGTGCTCCACGTTGAGGCTGTGGCCAGGGGGCAGTCCCCACCCACACACGCGGGTGCCTGGGCGCTGGCTGGGGGCACTTGGGCAGGGCTGCCACTGGGAGGATTAGGCCCAGAGCCTCTTGCCTGGCGTCCTCCTCCACCTCCTCCCTCTGGCTCTGTGGGGCTCCCCGTTGGGGACTCGGCAGAAGGCCTCTTGGCCTGGGTGTTTGTGAATGTGTGGGCCAGCACAGGACTCTGGGTGACGTTCAGCCCAGGGGGGCAGCTTTGCCCAGGGCTAGCCTGGGGGCATCAGCCCAGCTCAGCATAACGTCCTGACCGTGTTCCCAGAAATCACCTTCCTCCCTCACTGCTCAGCCACCGGACCGGAACCCAGACCCCCGCCCCTGCTGTTTTCCCGCAATGCTTCTCACCTTCTAGCCGTGTTGGTTGGGTTTGTCTCTGTGTCCCCAGGATCTGGCTGCTCAGTGTTTTTGCCGAGTAGCCAAGGACCCCTTGTAGCCTCTCTATGAGGGGCAGAGCCCCATCTGAGCGTCAGGAGACCTTCACCAACTCCTAAGCCTCCTCTATCCAAAGGGTGGCAGGGTTGCCCTTTCCTCGTGGGCCCTGCCGGGGTGCCCACTTGAGCCCTAATACCCGGAGCAGACCTCAGGCAGGCCTCCTGGCACAGCGGTTCCACGCCGTCTGCAGGAGGCCAGCACGGGCTCTGGGCACCAGGCGTCTTATCTGAGACGTGCAGGCCCTGAGAGAGGCCTCCTCCCACACACTGGAAGGGGGGACGCCGAGGGGTTGGCACTTGAACCTGCCAGCCACCTAGGGGTATGTTGAGGGCTTAGCCTGCCGTCCCTGACTCTGGCTCCCCTTCCCCCAGCACAGTTGTGAGTGCTCAGTGGACCCTGACAGGCCGCCACCACAGGTAGAGTCCAAGGCTTTTCCCCTGCCCCTGGCAGCTCTGTGCCTAGTCCGTGGTCCAGACCCGCAGCCCCTGGGAAGCAGGGCTGGGTCTCCCCTGTGGAGGGCAGCTCCACCGTCCACCTGCCCCGCCTCCTGGGTTCCCTTTCCCAGAAGCGCAGAGCCAGGAGCCCCTCGCTGCAGACCTTCCTCCACTCCCTCCCACTTGCTCCTACTTCCGGAGAAGGGGGCCACGAGGGAGGTGGACACGCAGATCCCCGCCGGCAGCTGGCGGGCAGGCAGCGGGCAGGGAAGCCTCAGCACAGGGGGCTGGCACCTGGGGAGGAATGGGCCTGCCAGCTGGAGGGTCCTGGCCGGTCCCTTTGTCCACCCAGACCTGACCTGGGTAGAGTGGATGGCAGGGTCCCGGTGGGGAGTTCCAGGGGGTGAGCAGCTGGCTGGGTGCCACACAGGGGTAGTAGGGCTACCCAGCCCCTTGGCTGTGGTGGGGGAGCTGGGGGCTCCCTGGAGGCATCCTGGGACTCTGGCACCCCGTTTCCCTTTCCCCTTCCTGTGTTATCAGAGGTGGGGGAAGGCAGGTGGTGGGTTCCCTGGTGGGCACAGTGTGGCCTGTGGGGCACCAGGTCAAGGCCTGGCAAAGCAGCTGTCCCCCAGCTCCCCGGGGGAGCTGGGGTGACGTGGTGTGTGTGTGTGTGTGTGTGTGTGTGTGTGTGTGTGTGAGCAGCACAGCTGAGGGGGAGCTGGGGTGGGACCTTGGCTTTGGCCGCCTGCCTCCTGTTTACTCCGCCCACTGCTTGCAGGGGTGGGAGTGGTGCCTTGGACGGGGAACAGGGCATCCCAACCCCTTGTGAGTTTGGTAAAGCCTCCAATTTTCCAGAGACGAAGCTTCGCCTTTCCACGGCACCCTCTTCTCTGCCCGTGTCCGTCTCCCACACTGGCTTGAGCTCCCCAGGGACGGGGTCCCCTGACCTGTGTCCGCCGCATCCCACACGGGCCCTGGCAGCTGTGCGCACTGGGGTTTGTGACCTGAAGGACTGACTGACAGTGAGGGTCGCCTCACGGCTGCCTCCAGAGAGGAATTTGTACAAAGTCCACTCTTGCTCTCTCAGTGGCCTGACTGTCCGCAGGTGCAGAGGGACTGTGCAGGGCTGGGGCTCAGTGCTCGGACCGAGCTGGGTGCCAGTTCTCACCCTGTCTCAGTGTCCTCACTGAAGTGGAGTGGCCATAGCGCCCGCGTCCCGGGCTTAAGGACTGTGCGAGATACAAGAGTGTTGCGTCTGGGCACGGGGACTGGAAGGAAGGCCGCTCACATTATCCACCACTCACTGGCACAGCTCCTTCCAGCAGCGGCTGCAGTCCCACCACACCTCTGGGAGGCAGGTGTGCCCAGCAGGTGTGGAAACAGCCAGGAGTTCAGGATCCAACCCCTCAGCCCTGTGCTCCATGGAGGGCCGAGCCCCCCCCTCCCCCTGGAGGCATCTGGTCTCTTGTCCTGGTTGCTGAAACTTTCAGACAAAGTAAGAAAAGTCAGAGAGAGACTGCAGTGCAGGGGCTTGTTCTTGTCCCTTCGTAAATTTATCCACAAATATTTACTGAGTGTTTCTGCTGAGTGCTAGAGATGAGACACCAGGTCCCCCGCCTTCCTGGGTCCGCTGTTGCGCATTGTCTGTGACCTCACGTGGGAACCTGGCCCAGCCGTTTGAGCCCAGGGCTGGCATCCAGGGCACACGAAGCTGGCGCCTAGGATCTGCAAGTTCGGTGTAAGGGCCAAGGCCAGTGTTGAGGACTCGTCTTCAGAACTGTTGACAAATGAGTCTTTTTCACGGGTCAGCACGTAACCATGGGCCGGCATTTGGGGCAGGTGAGAGATTTGGGGTGAAAGACAGAAAATTGGGAACCGAAGCCCAGACTCCACCCTGGGCCTCCCTGAGCCACAGTTTCCTTGTTTGTCAAATGAAGAATGCAGTTGGCCTGTCTCCCAGTGCTGAGGGTCAGTGAAGAAATGGAAGGGAAGGTGCTTTGCAGGCTGTGAAGCCAGCTGCAGGCCAGGGGGTCTTAGTTATTAAACTTGGCTGACCACTTAAACGGCTGTGCTGGGGGGAAATAAAACTCCAGAGAGCACCAAACATAACTCCACTTGGGCTCTTAATGTCATTTAAGTTTATTTCCAGGACTCCCAACAATGGTGATTTCCTGCAAATGTAGCTTCACTCAACTTTTTCCCTAAACAATGTTCTCCATGGATATGGCTTCCCTGGTTGATGTGGGAGAGGCCTGGAGCAGAGGAATCATCAGAGTCCTCATCCCCGTGGAGTTTGCAGAGGTTGGGCGGGGGCTCTGGATGTCTGCTGAGGGCTTGCTTAGCTAGAGGGTAAGAGTTGACGTTTGAGCTGGGCTCTGGAAGTGGAATAGGAGTTGTTGGATGAGGGAAGAGAAAGGGCATTCAGGGCAGAAGGGAGAGTGTGCAAAGGCCTAAGGCAAGAAAGGCTTGTGACTGGATAGTGGGGACCTTGAGTGTTGGCAGTGGGTAGCCGTGGTGGGTGTTTGGGGGTGGCGGAGCAGCCTGTTAGTCTGGGCAGCTGGGGCCTCACTGCGGGAGCCGGGAGATTGGACTGTGCTGGAGCAAGGGGATTTGGGCTGTGGGCGCCAGGGCATCTGTCCTGGGAGGTGGCTTGGGAAGGACCACACTTTGGGCTAGACAGGTCTTGGTTGCAAGGCGTGAGTCACTTAATCTCTCTGAGAAATGGGTGTGAGTCCTCTGAGGATTGGCTTTCCTTATCTGTAACTTGATGATAATCACAGTACCTAAAGCCTAGGATTGAAGTGAGGATTATGCCAGAGAATTCACGTCCCACTCTTGGAGCAGTGCCAGCTCGGGGACATTGGCCATTTTGCTCCATGCATGGCCTTTTGCAGCCTCGATTCCTCCCCAGCCCTAGGTGGGACTGTCCTCATGAACTTCAGGAAGATGGAGCATGGAGGTGATGATTCTCTCCTGAAGTCCTGAGCTGGGTCTCAAACTCAAGTCTCCTGACCCCAGAGTCCAGGGCTGCCAACGGGCCTTAAATGCGACCCACGGTGGGTGAAATACCACTTGGTGGCCAGGACATGGTAGGTGCGGGTTAAGTGGGCAGGTGGCCAGAGACCCTTTGTGTGGCCCTGTGCGGGCCGGAGGGGTGCGCTGGGGCCAGCTCCCTCAGGCCTTCTGTTTAGACCCATTAGTTACAGACCAGGGGCGCCGTGGGGCGAGGCCGTGGCTGCAGCCAGCCTGAAGGCTCTGCCTGCCCGAGAGGCATGGTGTTCTGAGCCCAACAAAAGGCCTGTAATCAAAGCTTCGGCTGGGCGACTTGAAGCAGCTGGGCCGGTTTGGGGGGGCAGGGCCAGGCCCGGTGTGGGATCTTGGTGCCTCTGCCCTTCCTTCATTTGGGTATTCTGTCTCCTGGGTGATGGTGGCCCCATGAGGGTGGTAGAAAAACCTGTGTGCGTGGCCACATTCCCCAGGTTATAGACCCTTCGGTGACCTCAGCCCCCCATCTCATCTCATATCCCAGCTCCCCTGGGCTGTTGGCCAGGCAGTGGCCCTCACCTTCCTTCTATAGCCAAGAATACCAAGGCTCAGAGAGGCCTCAGGTACTCAGCCAGAGTGTCCTCCCCGGTTGATAGAGTGGGGGGTCCTGGCAAGGCTTCTGGGAAGGGAGGGAGCAGTGAGGCTGGGCCTTGAGAGGTGAGAATCTTCTCACCTGACCCTCAATAGGGCAGGGGCCCATTCCAGGGCTGTTCTCTGCAGAACATGCTACCTCAAGAGGCCTGCAAAGGAAGCAAAGAGGCCTCCATGCAAGCAAGGAACTTGACTCTGAGCTTCCTGGCAGCCAAGGCAAAAAGGGGAATTTGTAGTGTTATGATAAGAAGAATACACACGGTCATCTGCTGTGAGAACTAAAGTCAGGGAGGTACACTAGGGAGGGTGAGTGAACAATCTGTGAAACAATTTTCTTGAGAACCAGTATTTTGGGAGAACTTTCGGTTGTTGACCCCACTCTGTGAACCACTAGTGTGGACTCCCTTCTTCACTTTTTATTTTGAAATAATTTCAGACTTACAGTAAAGTTGAAAGAATGTATAAAGACCCCTTATATACTCTTCACCAAGATATACCAGATATTAACATTTGCTATATTTACTTTATTGTGTGTGTGTGTGTATTTTAAGCTGTTTGAGAGTAAACGACAGATATGATGGTTGTTTGCCCCTAAATACTTCAGCATCTGTCTCCTAAGAACAAGGACATTCTTTTGCGTAATCACAGGACGATGATCAAATCAAGAATGTAACACTGATACAGTGCTATTGTCTAATCTATGGGCCTTCATGCATATGCCACCTGTTGTCTCAGGATTGTCCTTTTACAACTGTTTTTTTTTCCCCTGGCCCAGAATCAAATTCAGAACCACACATTGTATTCAGTTGTTCTGTATCTTTGGCCTCTGTACAGTAAGTCCCCTACAAGTTGCAAACTTTCAAAGGTGCGAACGTGTGTGAGTGAAAGACACCAGCGTCAGGCGTGAGTGAAATTGCAGCTCGCCCTCCGTCTCCTATGGCTGAGGATCCTTCAGCTCTACCGTCTCCCACCTCCCCTCCCTCCTCCAGTCAGTAACTCTTCTTGCCTGTTCACTCGATGCCAGCCCATATATGCTAGCTGTTGTACTGTACTACTGAACTTTTCAAGGTACTGCACTGCAAAATTTAAAATGTTTTCTTTATTTTTTGTTTGTTTTTTGTGTATTACTTATGTGAAAAGTATTATAAACCTATTACAGTACAGTACTGTATAGCTGATTGTGTTAGTTGGGTCCCTAGGCTAACTTTGTTGGACTTAACGAACAAATTGGACTTACGAACGTGCTCTCAGATCAGAACTCGTTCATATGTAGGGGACTTACTGTATTCGTTTCCTACGGCTGCATATAAATTACCACAAACTAGGTAGCATAAAACAATGGAAATTCATTCTTGCATAGTCTGGAGGCCAGAAGTCTAAAATCAAGGTTTTGGCAGGGCGTGCTCTCTGGAGGCCTAGGGGAGGGTCCTTCCTCCTCGTCCTGCTTCTGGTGGCTTCCAGCAGTCCTTGGCCTCCTTGGCATGTCACCACATCACTCCAGTCTCTGTCTTCACACAACCTTCTCTTGTGAGTCTTCTCCTCTGTCTTAGAAGGACACTTGTCGTGGGATCTGGGGCCCACCGGGGAGATCCAAGAGGATCTCATCTCAAGATCCTTAGTTTAATTACACGTGCAAAAACCCTTTTCCATCCCCAGGATCTGGGTGGACATGAGTTTTAGGGGAGCACCCTCCGACCCACCAGAGCCTCCTTTAATCTGGACCCGTTCCTCGGCCTTCGTTTCTCATGGCTTTGACTTTTTTTTTTTTTTTTTTTTTTTTT